CTTGTGGCAGAGCCCCCCATGCAGCATGGGGCAGTGGGGGTGCAGCAGAGATCACCCCCTGCCTGGCAGCACCCAGTGAGTGGGGTTTTTTTCTTCCAAGTGCCAGGAGCTGGGCAGGTAGGTCAGCCATTACTGGGCTGGGAAAGTGGGCGGGAGACTGGCCTGGCTGATGAGACTGGCCTGGCTGATTCAGCGATTTGGAGATTCGGCAGCAGCTGAATCTCCAAATCAGATTTGGACAAATCAATTAGGGACAGTGGTTCAAATCACTGAATTGAATCACTGTCCCCTGAATCGACTGTATTCAAATCTGAAGCAAATACTAGCCACTTCACACAGGCCTAATGTCCATATCAAACAAGCTATGCAAGGAAGAGATGACTGCTGGATAGATCATCATCTTGCTAGGTGCATTATGAATATCTGGCTTGCTCAAAAACACTGCAATCAGCCAAAATAATGTGAAGGACTTTCAACACCAAATTTCTTGAAGGTCTGGAAGGATCTCCAACAGTATCTCCATGAAAAGCTTTCTGCCCTGCCCACAACTGAAGGCAACACTGAGGAACTCTGGAAGTGGTTTAAAAGTGCTGTCTGTGTGGCCTGTACTGAATCCATTGCCTATACCACACATCAGCTCCTCAAAGCCAAAGATCAAAGGAGGATCCAGGAAATAAAAAATTAGCAGTGTTGAGATCAAGCCAAGGAGATTCAGCTCCATGCTTACAAACATGACATGCATATTTTTTTTCCAGGCAATAAAACCTATTTATGGTTCAACTTCCCACAGCTGTCTTGTGACGCATGGCCTACTCTCCCCTATGGAAAGATCTGCAACTTCTGTGGATAGATCTGGGGCTCAAGGATTGGACTCAAGATCCATCAGTGACCTACAGTAGAGATTATCCTCAAATTGAAGACTGCCACCACTTCAGACTTTGAGAAAGATTTGATGATGTTTCTAGGAAGGTCTTCCCCAGCATGAAGGTCAGCACATCAGAATCAATTTGTCTGAAAATTTAACCAAAATGTGATTCAGGCTGCTATTGCTGGCTCATAAGAAGCAAGCATTACTATTCTGATAGTGAGCTAGAGGTGGTAGGTAGAGTACAGTTAGGCTGTGAAGACCCTGAAGAGTAAAAGCAATCAGTGCACACTTGATATGATAGAGAAGGGGTAATGAGAAGATGGGTGAAAGGCTCAAAGTGATGGGTGTAGAACAACACTTAGAACTGAGCTAAGAATGGATGACTACAGCTGTATTTGAGGTGAGTGGGGCCAAAAGGATTAAGAGCAAAGTAAAAAAAAGTGACAATAATGGTGAGATGATGATAGTCTGTGTGGATGCACGGAGAGGTTATATCTTTGACAAAGCTCAAGGCAGAGATGTGTTGAGGAAATCTGCTTAACTCTCTCCCCTATAAATAAGTTTGCCTTGTTCTAATATGGCCAAAGCCACTATGCAAATATGAATAGAAAATGGAAGTTGAAGCAGCTATTGGATCTCCCCCAGCTGAGATGCTAGCATTCAGCACTGAGTCCTGTTCACTAATTGCTGCTGGATGTTGACAAAGACGCTGTGGCTAGCTATTTCCAGCCTGCCAGCCAACTGTTATGTTGCCCAGTAGAGCAAACAGCCTGCAGGGGCAGTTCATTGTAGTCATAGCAGGTGTCTTCAAGTTCTTTCCTTCCTACTCCCAGATGTGTATCAGCTGCAGACATCACATGGATTAACCATTTTGTGCACCTGGAAGTATTAAAAACTAAAATCAATTTAGGATTAAAAAATAACATCCTATGTGTCTGTGGGCTAATGACTCTGACAACTGACTGGAAATTAAAATAACTTTTCAGATATTTTTATCTTGGCAGTCTTCAAACTCATTAGGTTTTTTAGGCACCATTCACTTATTTATCCTGTTTTCCATATTTTTGTTTACCCTGTTTTCCATCTGCCCATCTTTTTTCATTGTAATTCATCTAAACTGAACATTGAACTTCTGCGCCTGTGCTAGGGATACTGATGTATATTAATGTCTTGGAATAATTCTTTAAAATGACATTTCTTTGTTTGTATCCATTTTTAACACAATTAGACTATTCAGAATGTTTTAACTTCTTTTGTGATTCTTTTGCTGGTGGTGCTAAAAAAGAAAAGTCTATACAAAATACTGGACAGATTTTCTTTTGAAATAGAATAGGGAACTCAATGTGTGGCATGTAAGGTTAATGCAAAATGAGGAGAAATCCTAAAATGTGGTAGACAAAAGGCATTGTCTTCAATATAAAGGCAAGGGCTTGCAAAGTAAGTGGTCCCATTTCACTAAATTCCCTGGAAACCAGGGAAGCTGATTGCTTACCAGGGCTGATTTTGACCCTGGATGGGCCAATATATACATTTACATTGTGATCTGAGCACCTGGGTAAAGCTTGAATTCTTAGATTCATAGTACTCTGAATGCTTTAACTGCAGAACTCTAATCACTTTGGGCCATCTGGCATAAAGCTATACCTTAAAAAGGAATATATTGTTTTTAGAAGAATAACATCTTCTTCTCTAAGGTTTAGTGTTCATGAGGGCTGGTTGGAAAGTGGGAAATATTTTCCTGCAAAATATTTCAAGCAAAATGAAAAACCCAATAAAAACATTCACAATTTGATTTCAATCCAAACTAAAATGAAAATCTGTCATTGAATATAGTCAAAACAAAAATTTCCATTTACAATCATTCTTTCAAAAGGAGAATTGTGAATAATACATTTTTGTATAATTTGGGAAGGGTTTTTAAAAAATTTTTGCATAGAAGTTGTTAACTGGCTATACTGTTTGTTTTTTCTATGGATACAAATCATATTACACTGCTAATATTCATCTGTATCCTGATTTTGTATATATTATAAAACAGTTTTTGCAAAGTATAATTCCATTAAAAATTAGGAGTGTTATATAATGGCTCCATGAATTGTACTGCATGCAATTAAAGTAGTTGCTGACTTCTGAAGTTCTACTGAACTCAATGAAATACTATACGTTAGCATCAGAGGCATATTTGTTGGAACACAGTTCAGTGAAAATGTCTATGAACAGTAGTTTCATTTTTTACTAGCGGTCCAGATGATTCTGAATTCTGACACTCTGAAAATCTGAAAAAATGCCTGTGGGCTTCCTGTCAATTTACACAAGAGAGACAGGATCAGAATTTGGTTCCTGATGAATGAAAAGGAGAATTTGTTGAGACTTCCAGGTTGACAAGAAAAGGAAGTTACCACAAGAAATGCATAAATGTAGAAGAATGTAGAGATAATATATGCAAAAAGAAATTTTTTAAAACAACATTGCTTCTTTAATTTTAGTAGACAAGTGAAAATGTAACAAGTATGTTCTATGGCTTTTTTACCATCTTCAGTGAGGACTGGGAGATGTAAATAAAAAATGGAAAGTAAACTCTTTCTGCCTCTGTGTTGGGTCCCAGAACCATATCTGTAATGGCAAGTTTGCATACAAGGATTTTTGTTTGAACTTCCTACTCTAAAGAGCATGAGATTTCACGTGCTGGTTTTTGCCCTACTGCACATGCACTATTTGCTAGTTTTACATGCTGCAAGCTTCTTGTCAAGAGCAGTACTATAATTATGCTGAAACATCACTTTGCGGTAGGCTTGTCACAGTTTGCTGTTCAGCATACAGATGGACCTTTCTTCTGACGGCACATTTTTAATATAAAATGATTTAATTAAAAACTGGACAATATTTGTCAGCAGATGCAATTTTTCAGTACAACGGGACAGACTTTCATACAAAATCAATATGATACAACACTCGGCATGTAAATTTTTTCCTCTGGGATGCTTGCTACCTTATTTGACATGCACTCAGAGAGGCTTAGTATAGGTTGGGTTTGAGTTTTGAGCTAAGATTTGGGTAAATTACATTTCTACCTTCTTTCAATTTGAATTTATAAACCATATTCCTTTTTTCCCAATTGCATCTTGGACCAATGGTTTTCAAACTTCCTAAGGTCACAGAACCGTTTCATAACACTTCTTGTGCCACAGAACTGCCACCCCTTTCCTAAAGACTGACATGGAGCCTGGAAATGGTGGCGCACCACCTCCTGGCCCTCTTCATTATCACCCCCAATCTCTTTGCAGAGCCCCCAGGGACCGAATGCAGAATCCCAGGTTTCCACAGGACACAATTTGAAAGCTATTGCCTTGGATCATGTATTCCAGGCCTCACAGCCCCAGCTAGACAAATTAATATCTTGACAATTACAGCATAGAACAAGTTATCTGAATTTGAAGAAAATCAGCTTCTTCTAAGATGACAAACCTAACTCATATTATCAATTGTAACTCAAAAGGGTTACTCTCACTGCTCTTAGTTTTCAAAGCTTCTGTTGGCTCCAGTGACTGGAAACATACACAGACACATTTAAAGGAGAAATGATCTCTCCTTAAAATTAATTTAGGGTTTGCTGGTCAGACTAGTGAGATTATAGCAAACCACCATTGATTAAATGGTATAGGATTGAGCCTCTGGGGCCGCATCCAGATGAGCATGGCTGTGTGGTATGTAGCACTGCAGACACATCTGTGGTGTCACATACTGCACATTCAACTGTTCTCTGTGCTGCAAAGAGCACCATAGCAGTGGGGGTTTGACCCCTGGATATCTACCCCCCAGGGTAACCTGCTGTGTGCCAGAGGGCATGTGGCACAGGCATTCCCCAGGGACAACTAGCTTTGGCACAAGGTGTGCTGCTGCTAGTTGTCCCTGGGGAAACAAAAGTCTACACTCACGTGGATGCAGCCTGGTGCATCAATATCTTGTACCAGCTGGCTAGATGCTAGTTAAATGGAGCTTGAGTTGTAATGGGAAGCCATAGGTGCCATACCTAATTTGGTTAACAGCGGTATAACAAAGATTAATATTGCGTGTAGAGAACTGCTGAATTAATATCAGCTTTTCAGACAGGAAATCATGAGAGAGAGTATGCCTTCTAGTCTTACATAACTTACATTTTCAACATCCTGAACTGGCATGTTATCGCTTTCCTCACCCCACTCACTGCTTGGCTGGGTGCTGATGAGAAATGGTCTCCCAGCCAGTGCTAATTGTGGAATCTTTGTTATTTAGTAACTAGTTTTATGTCACAGGAATTCTCAAGCAAAGTGAAAATACGTTTGTGAACCCAATGTTCTTTGAAGTCCTTTCCTGTCTGTCACATGCCATTATGCACTGCTGGGTGTCTGAATATCTGGGACAAAAGGTCAGGCCTCATAATATTAAAAAAATGGACAATTTTGTTTTCCAGTCATGAAAAAGTGTTCATGGAACAAAAGAAGAAAGGGATTATAGAGAAAGGCAGGGGGATATGGGGGGTGTTTGTTATTAAGCATATTGCAGTATGGTCATGGCATATTTCTCTTTAAGGTGTCTCTCTTTAGGACCACATTCTGCCCTCAGAAAATGCTAGAAAATAAAAGAAAATATATATTTGGTGTTGTAAGAAAAATAGCACAACACAAAACCCTTATAAGGTTTATATGTTAGTATTAACATACAAAATCTTTGCTAAAGTTATAAATGGAGGCAGGTGATGGGGAAACACTTCTGAGCATGCCTAGTTATCATCTGCTAAAATGTTAAAGGTGTAATGAAATGCTACCCTTTCTGGTGTTTTAATAGAAGGTTTCCTTTCCTTTGATCCGATTCCTAGGTATGCTGATTGGACAGTTTGAAAACGGGAGATTTTACATGCCTTATGTAACAAGAACTAGTTAAAATGTTTCAGTCATTTTTTGTGGGTGAGACCAAATGACTTTATCAAAATTAACCTTTTTCCTGCCCAAAATATCCACCTTGAAATTAGTTTTTCTCTGAATATTTTTCAAATCGTCAACATGAAACAAAAGCAGATTTATGTATTTCAATATACTGATTTGGAATATTTTTGTTTTTTGATTTAATGTTATTTTACTTCAGTTTTTGAAAGCCAACTTTTAAATTTTTTTCTTATTTGTGGATTTGCTATTTCCAGGCAAATCCAGGATTTGGCAAAGGGAGTGCAGGACCAGCCATCCCCACTGCAGGGGTGACTGTATCCCTGCTCCCAGGCTCCTGTTCTCCCAACCAGTAGGGACATTCCCCACCATGGCAGCCTTTGGGGATTTTTAAAAAGTCCTTAAAGCACATAAGAATCCCCACCTTTCCCTCTGTGCTTAGAGGCACAGCCCTTTCCTTCCCCTTCTACCTCTCACCCCTGTTGCTGTGCTTTCCCCATAGTCCCAAGGGTGGAGCATCTGCAGAGCTGGGCTGTGTGGGGGCTGAGAACAATGACAGCAGCTGAAATGGCCCAGGGGTGGGTTTCCCCACTCAGCCTTGTCCCCTGGGAGCAGGACTGGGAAAGGCGAACTGCCCTGTCCATCGTGTCTCCTGCTGTCACTGTTCCCAGATGAACCTACCCCCCCACACAACCTGGCTGGAGCAGGCAGGAGCAGCTTT